CAGGGTTTCCAATTTTTTGGGGAAGGGAAACCCCCAAAAAATAAATTAATTCTTTGGTGGGTTTCCCCCGTCCCCAAGGAATTAACCCAAGATGCCGACCCCCTTTGGCGGGAGGCGGTTCCCCCTTTTTGGGCTTCCCCAAATCCCCCCGGGCGTTTTCGGCTTGGGGATGGGGAACCCTGTTCCGGGGGAACCCCGGGGTGTTCCCCCCCGGTTTTTGTGGGGTGGGGGGTTAAAGGTCAAAGGATTCGGGCCTCCCGGGTTTGGGTTCCCCCCCCCCCCCCCCCTCTTCCCCCCCAAGGGGCCCTGGGGGGGGGGGATAAGATGGCCAAAAAATTTTTTTTGGGGTTGGGGGCAAAAACGTAAAGGGCTCCCAAATTTTGGGGGGTTTTTTTGTAGGGGTGGGAACGGTGTTCCTTTTCAAAAGGGACCCATGGTCAATGGTCAAATGATTTCGGCAAGCAAAAAAGGGGTTCGCCCCCCCCCCCCCCCCTCCTCCCCGCCCGCGCGCGCCCAAACTCGCTCATGAAACTCTCGTGTAAGACGAATCGCCAGGTTTTGATGGCATATAGGAGTACGATTTAAGGGCGTGTCAGGTAGGGTTAACAACCCAAACGCGTTCAAGTACATACCGGGGTATGTTTTCGGGGTATTGGCGCACCCACCCAGCATAGAAGTACAGTATTGAAAACGCGTTTGAATATCTACCCGGGTGAAAGTACAGTGTGGATAGCACGCCCAATATCTACCCAGATACATGTACCGTTTGGATAAAAATACCTGCGTGAGAAACGGTATGGGTATGGAGAAAAACGAAGCAAGGAACACATGACGCAGTCGTATGCACACGTAGACGAATGCCGCTTCCCAGCCCCTGTTTTTCGGATGGCCTCGCCCAGCGTTTTCATGCGGTCAGCTTTTGTTTCGCTCCGCACGTACGTGTCTCTGGGCACCGACCGATCATTGAAGAATGCCACGATGTTGGGGCGTTTTTCACCCTCTCCGAAGCGAACGGCGGTTCGAATCCTTGCTGCTGTAATGAGCGGCGGAGCGCGAAGCTCGACCTTTCTTCCCTTCATTCCCAGGAGGGAAAAAGGACAAGGCTCCAAATATCCACCCGTTCCAACACGATGCAGGGGCCCCAACTTGATTGCCGGGAAGCCTACACAGATAAAACCTTGTTCTGTAGAGCACCGAATGACCATCTGTTGCCGTCTGAGCAAGAAGAAAAAGAGGGCACTCTTCTCCACACCAGTTTGGTCGTGCTCCGACGGCAGATGACCGTGATTCACTGGCATTTCTACCCAAAAACTATGGGAGATAGTCACCCCCATCCCCGGGAGTTGTCAAGGTGATGGAGGAGATCTCCCACACACACGCGTGCAGTTGTTTGATTCAAACCAGGAGAAACAGAGGAAGCTCTCAGCGAAACGAGCAACACCGCTGGGAGGAGCAAGACAGCACAGCTCGTGGCGGATGCCTTTGTCATTGCTGTTACTTCGGGTGGGAAGGGATCATCAGAAACCAGAACCTACTCGCGCCTTGGACCAAAAAATTGCAAACTGATCGCAGCAGACGCGGCGAGTGTTTTCAGGCTGTCCCAGACTCTCGCGCTCGCATTTTTCTGAGCGTCCCTCAACCACCCGTTACGCATCGATCACCACACAAGAACGGAGCATGAACACAGCACCTTTCACCCGGGTTGAAGCCCCCACAAAATATCGTGTGTTTTTTTTTTCGTCACAAGTTTATGATGATACGGAGCCCCCCGCGGCCTCTTTTCCCATATAGGGACCAACCAGCAGTCATTCCTCGACAACGCTGGCTGTAGTTGCAGTCCAAAAATTGCCCCACCCCTGAAAAGTCTCTCTGAGGTGCCCCTTCACGTTGACACCGTTCAAGGCTTGTTTCGTGTGCACTACCGACGGGGGCACAGCGCTCAAGTTCCAAGGGGGGGTGGTATCTCCGGAGGAATCCAAACGAAATTGGAGGTAGACATGTCGTTGCTCGACTTAAAGGCGATAAGAGTGCTTCGCTGGAACTACCTTCGTAGTGGCGATCCAAAATTGCACCAACTACTCAAATGTTTTGTTCTATTTGCCTATTCCTAAAGTGGTCTATTCTGGCAAAGTCTCGAGCGAGTTCGTCAACTCTTCGAAGGTGGACAGCAGCGTGAAGTTTGGTGCTGAGAGCTGCGAAAACGGGCTTGAAGCAGCAGGTCTTTCACATTTCATCGCATGGTATTTCTCAGGTTTAAGGCGAAACCAGGACAAACCAAATGTCTGCGCGTGTAGAACATGACATGCTTGAGGTATCCTGCTGGTTTCACAGCACGTGGCCATCTTCATGGGGAGCACCAGCGGTGACAAAGGTGTGCACCAGATGGTGTCACAGGGAAATAAATCCTGGGGGCTCACGCGGGGGTACCATAGATTTTCGCTGAACCCCGATGAATATTTTCTTTTCGTTTTGTGTGCTTTGTTATTGGCTGTTGCTTCGGGGTGAGGGGGGTGGTCACCTGGAAACAAGTCTGTGCCACGGGCGAAAATCCACAGGAGCCATTATTATTATTGCTCTTTCAAAGAACACGACAAATCCATCTCTTTCACAGATACGAGTCCTATTTTTTTATTGCGGCAGGGTGTTTTTTCTCGCATGCAGCTTCCGTGGGTCCTACGGTCCCATGGTCTCTATCAGCCGCCACACAAGAAGTTGCATACACAACGCTCGCGGGGGATAGCTTCACAGTTGCTGCTGCTTCACTCTACGCAGTGAAACCGCCGACAAGCCAAATCGGTGGGGGAAGGTATGTATGACGTGTGCACAGGTCTATGCACACGAATCCCAACGGCCGTTCGCCGCAGGAACCTTTTTGTATTTTCGTGACTCGGATTCAAGTTCAAAATGATGGACTGCACCGCCACCGCAATAAGCATCGAAGGTACATAGCCTACTGCAGATATTGAGTCCCCGCGGCTCATTGCCCCTCCCTATCTAGTACAACTGCGTTTGTGTTATTTGCAATGCTTCCTTGCTGCGTGAATCTCCTACTATTAACCCTAACCTTGACCCCGAGAACCTGTTGCTGCCGCCGGCGCCGAAATGAAACTCATGGTCAGTTCCGCTGGCATACTGCAACCGAGGGAAGCTGGAGCTCGACCGCGAACCAGAAGTGCCTGGGCGACACTCATGGAGGGTCAGCTACGCACGCCTGGAGGTCACCATTCCATCGTTGGGGCTTGGGTCCTCGACCTCTCCAGGTTCCGTTTTTTTTTTTTTGCTCTCCGCGTTTGTGAGAGGACGTCTGGGGTGCTCTTCCCTTGCCGTGGTTGTCGGTGAAAGTGAGGGGCGTTACGCCATTCGAGTGCGCGGGAAGCCTTACCCCGTCGAAAGGGACACGGTGTTTTGGAGAACGAGTTGGTGGTAAACGTGGCGTTGTGCCTTCCAATCGAAGCTAGGAATACCACAATCATATGTTCACATTCGCAGTAATTGTTGGCGTAGACGCTACAAATATATGGTATGCATTATGTCGTTGACGTACTACACAGCTGCGGCCATCGCAGGCAATTCCAACTCGTGGTTTTAGTACTCTGCCTGGGCCGTTCATCTGTCGCGGGGATCGTTCGCGTGTGTGTAGGTGCTTGACGTGGATTGGCGGAAGTCTCGCCGCGAAACTTTTGTTCGACACGTTAGTCGCGAGAAAAAAGATTGCAAACTTTTGCTCCAGATCGCCCGATTATTGTGAATAGCAAGAGTTTCCAAAATTTTGGCGCAACTTTCTCATCACATGAAGGGCGTACATGAGAAAATTGTGCAAGCTTTTTAACATTTTCCCCCAACTTTTGCTCCCAGAAAATGCGGTGTACTGTGTAAGAGATACCCAAGGAAATTTCTGTATAAGATGCCCCAAGTGTGTTGTGTGAGAAGGGTGTGGGTGGCGTCGCTGCTGCATCGGGAGTGGGCGCAATCTTGCCGAGAGGGATGCACAGCGAAGCGTTCGGTCGAAGGGGAGAGAGCAGCATCTTGAGCGCACGCCTCGGTCCCTCTTACGACTGTGTACCTCTCTTCTTGCTGGTCCTCCTCTCGCACCACCGTCAAATCTCACTTCCGGTCGGTCGCTCCGAACATTGACTTCGCAAAGCCGCGACATAGGCCACTCGCCCAGCATTCCAATACCTTGCAGGTGGCAAATAACCTCTTTGACGCGCAAAACAAATAAACGCGAACGACAAATGACGTAGATGGCTAGCGCAAGGATCGCATGCTGTGTGGAGACTGACAGGCGTTCAATGAACAAACATTCATGCGCTTAGTCAAGTGTAACCAAATAGGTGGTATTTTTTTGCCGGTTCCGGGGGGTGCCTAGGTTGTTGTGGGCACCAACCAGCCTGTCATTTTCTCAGAACCGCTTCGCTCTCCGTTACACATGGACCGGCCCGTTGTCGAACCACATTTAACCAGAGAAAAGATCCTGTCCGTACTCCGGTACCTTGAAAATCCGGGCCGTCGATTTCTGACGTCAACCTTCCGGATGAACGCAACGGTTTCAGGTCCGACACGATGGAGCTTTTCCTCCGAATCCATGGGATGCCGGAGAAGCACATTCGCGAGCATGTGAGCACATGGAGTTTTGGCTGCCTCTGAAGCCTTATCGGTTGGGGGCCTTTATCGCCGATAATTAATGTTGGTTGAGACCCACGGGTGTTCGAAGAGGGAGAGCGACGAGAGGCCAGCAGCGGAAGTGCTGTAGAAGGTGCTTTCGCGGCGGGGGCAGGAGCGTTGGTATCGTAGCTTGCACAAGATACCACGCCCCCTTGACCGATTTCCATACAATGTAGCTCGATTACTTCACACGACGACGATGATTCGGCAATCAAATGATGCGTTTTCGGCAAGATCTCGACGAGAAGGCTCCCAAGGCGCCACTCTCGGCACCATAACAATGGTGGTTTCTCTGGAGAGTTATCGAGCTTTGAAAATCGGTCCAGGGTGTGTTCTGTCTTTTGCAACCTGCGGTATTACGGTATCTCGGAACGGGTCATGGTCGATAAATAGTCAAGAGGCCCTGGGGCAGGCACGCGAGGGGTTGGTGTGACTCCCCTGCGTCAACCGCCACCTCGACCTGCGTGGAGGTTAACGAAACGTCTGTTTGATCGTTGTTACCGTCGTCGTGTCGAACGTGTTCGTCTTGGGCGACGGGCGGTTAAAACCAGGTCAGTGCTGAGACACTGCACGGAGGTTTCAACGTGGTCGGCCTAGGAGAAGACACGATCACCATCCACAAGCGGACCTGCACGAATTGCTACACGGAGAGGTGCGCCCGCTGTGCGACGTTACGGCTACCGCTCGCGTTGTTTCGCCCCTTGACTCCTGGTACAGCAGTACTACTCTCTTTTACCACCTCACTCGCCCCCGCGTTTTTTTGTAGATGCCTTGCGCTTGAGTGACCGCCCTTGCAGTCTGCGTTATTGGAGGCCCCAAGTGTGTTCACTCTGTGGTCGTTTGCGGACCTCGTCGTGGCAAGTACATCGATGTGCACTCAGTCAAGCCCCACAGGGTAGCTCTGGTTGGTGTGGCCTTTCTCGCTGCCGGTCCCGCCCACTATCCAGGAAAAGAAGAGGCTTCTCTTTCTCTCATTTCTCTCCCGGCACCCTCCTGTCTAAGAGAGTGGGGCGGCGGAGACGTGTGTAGCCCCTGGCTGCCATTGTTTTCGTTCCGAAGGAGGAAAGCCCTCTTCGAAGAACTATTCCACCGGCGATTGCTGAGACGGCAGAACGGTGCAATCGTTTTCAGTCTACCGGGGGACGCCGCGCAATAGGGGCGGGCGTCCTTCGCTCGGATGTGGGCGGACGCGTGCATGGTTGTATCAGAGGGGGCGCGTTTTTTGGTTTTGGGATTTTGGAATCGCCCCGCTCGCCTTGTCAAGAGAAGCGGAAACACAGCATGCCTGCTTCAGAATGGAAGGTGCGCAGGAGGTCTCGTACAACACAGTACTCACTCGAATGGTCGCACAAAGTACATACATCAAGCACCCATGCCAGACAATAGACAATAGCCGCATCGCGTTATGCAAAAGACCCCGAATGCGATCTCCGTCCCCCTCTCCCCGCCGTCGAAGTTTACGAGTACTCACCCTCACCCTTACCCCCTGTCCCTTCTTACGCTTGTCTTCTTCGAGAAGCTACACGCTCGACGAGGAAAAGGTCAAGTACAACGAAGTCACCCGCACCAGGGTATCCGAGGTGCTTTCCGTCCCGTGTTCAGGTCCCACGGGTTTCGTGCGTTCCGCCAATTGTAGCACCGCCGGCGGAAGAGACAACGTGCACATGCTCGAGACGCGGCACGTCGTTGAAGGGGGTCTCGCTCACACCCAGGTTAGTTGATTGGGGGTGCGGGATACCTCTCGTGTTGCTTCAGCTGTTTCGGGGTGGAAAAGAGCTCTTCTACTTTCCGCGTGGCTGAGCGCACCGGGGCCATGTATTTTGCCGATTGGAAATGGGCCTTCTCTACGATGATTCATTCATGTTTTGAGTGCGAAAATATCTCTGCAGTGTCTCGCTGTAGATGGATTAAAGTATCGATAGCGTTCTCTGACGTGAGGAAGGGTCTCGGTACTGATTTCGAGGGAGGGCAAGATGTGCGAAGGAGGCAGGGTTGGTTTACGGCCAGACCTGATCGTTTGACGCCAGAAGACGATTCTGGCACCACGACACACTACCAACCACCACCCCAGCGACGTTTGCTTTACCCCTCGCCCACTAACCCGATGTATAACCACCCAACCTCCCAGGAGATACGCCTCCACAATCTCACAACCGGAGAGGACTGTGTCACCAACAGAGTCTGGATGCGGGTACCGATGACCGAGGAGCACCAGGCGGCCCTTGGCCCGCTTTAGTTGGGATGGCCGACGGGGGGAAGCAGCAGTAGCGCGACAGTACAGTCACACGGGACTGTCAAGTAGGGCCTGACCATGTACAAAGGGGAGAGAGAGGTACCATAGCAAGAGTCGAGCCCCTCGGTTTAACAACACAACCAGCCGTGTGAGATGTCTGCAGTATCCGTCACAGTTGTGTCTCTTTATGGCTACGGTTTTGTCACGAATTTTATGGTGGCGAATGGGGATCCGCGAGGCTTGTGTAGACGCTCCGAGGTACTGTTGAGCACAGCAGCAATGGAAGATCTTCTTGAATATTTTGTACCACTTGTATAGATCAGTGAATTCCCCAGTGGAGAGTTTGTATATATTTTTTTCATTGTCAGTCGGTCAGAGTCACAGCACAAAGTTTGTTTTATATCTCAGCCCGCCTATATGGTGTTGGTGGGTTGAAAGGGGGGCGGGGTGCGGCCTTGCCGCTATACCGTAGGCGAGCATTCAGCTTGGGTCCAGATTTAGATCCACGTCGCATTTTTCTGTGAAAGGAAAGTCGATATTTTCATGTATGTTGGTCGTGGGGCTGGGGGTGGGAAAGCCTCCCCTACGATTGGCAACGGCAACAGTTGAGTGGTTTGTTCATTAGTGTAGGATCCTCGGCTGACCTGTGTTTGTGTGTTCTCAACCCAATTATTCTTGTGTTATCCTTTTTGTCGTGAACATGTTTAAGATTTCATTTTTTCTTAGTGTTTGTTAGGCCGGCACCGTAATTTTGTTCCTCGACGTTTCAACACCCTGATTCACGTCTCCCCTTTCGAGGGCGGTCGTCAGGGTACGGTAAAGCCACCATCTCTCTCGGCGCATCTTGGTTTGCCTGACAGCTATGGTGCACTCCAGACCTTAAGTCATGGAGTGCACTCTGTTGCACCAGGTGAACAATGCTGACATAGCCGGGATGGATGACCACCACCACCGCAGGGCCCGGGATTCTGCAACATGAATGGCGTGTTCCGGGTGTATCGGGCGGGACACAGCAGTCCCCATCTGTCTCATGGACAGCGGGGCGGGGTGAAAAAGGAACCCACCGCACACCGGTTGAGAACCTCCTTCATAATTGGGCCGCACTACTAGCGGATTGTTTCATCACACCAGACCAGTGTATTCGTGGGGGTTCGAAATTCTTGCGGGGTTAGGCACAAGGCAGTTGGCCTGGGGAATCACATTAGGCGTCCGCATCAAGTGGACCATTACGGATGTTAGAATGCACTGGACAGATATCGGGCAGTTTCTACGGCGAAGACAACGTTAACTCCTCGACAAGGTGCGTGGTCTCCGGCGTACAAACACGATCGATCGCGAGAGGAGGAGCATCGGATAACGAGACACCCCGAGAGAAGAGTGATTTTCACTCAAATAAAAACCACCCGCAGCGCGACCGACCGGGAGTCAACTGGAAAGACATCAGTCGTAGCATGTTCGACACCACGTGCAGGCTGTTCGTTTCGACCAATCAGAAAAAGCTGCCGGCGCTTGTCGCCTTTGAGTCCTGTTGGGAGCGAATCAACGGCCAGTCACTCTCAGTTAGGAGTCTCCAGTCACTCTCAGTTAGGAGTCTCCAGAAAAGGACGACGAGGCTGAGCAGAGGCAAAGCGATCGACCCCAGGCAGTGAAAAACACGGCGGGGTCCGGTGGCCCATTCGGGAAAACTCGCAACTACCTAACACCAAAAACACGACCCTGTGAATTAACTCCCCTTGAAGAGGAGTCCTGAAAAAGATAGTCCGAATTTCTACCACAGACAAACAAGTACGTTGAGGCCACCGCCAACCTAAAATCTCCGGTTGGCTACAAAAAGCGTGGGCGATCCCGATCCCGGCCGATCTCATCTACGGTGCATACTGACAAGATCGACACACGAACCACCGAAGATTTATCTACAAACCAACAGAGCGCAACTCAAGAGAGAAGCGCCTCGATTTCGAACAAACAACTCGACAAGCACGCAGCAGAACCTGCCCCCCCCCCCCTGCTCCCTTGGGCTGAAATTCCCCCCCTTGTTGTGGATGCCCAGCTGACCGATCATGTTTCCACTGACGCCGCGTTCGGACCTGCTGGCACCAAAATTGCCGCCCAATCAGGGTACCTCCACGCCAGTCAAAACCTCGACCTCTGCCAAGAACCCAGACAAAAACTTCAGTTATGCCCCGCGCCTGCCGACTAAACTCAAGCCCTTTATACCCTCATCCCCCCACCCACCCCCAAACGCCTAGGCGGGATACAAAGACGAGCAGAAATCGTCTTCATTCCCTGCGCTGACTGACTTACGCGGGAAAACAAATTCCGGTTGAGCAAGGAGCTCCCACCAAGCTTGAGACGCGTTGTTGATGAAACGGCAACAACCCGCCGCTATACACATGCCAGACGCGTTGATTTTCCTGTTCGTAAGGCAAAGTGTCCCGCCCACGCCAATGCCCCCTATCCTACACCTACCAAGGCCCGTGCGGATCTTTTGGCCGTAGCGTGCCGCACCACAGCACCCACTGCAAAAAAAGTAGAATACGCCGCCGCTTCGTCCCTTCTCCCTCCCAAGCGCTTATTTCCAGCAGGTTAGAAAAAGACTGCAAGTTTTTGAGCTGAAACTACGACGACAATCCAACTCATCGTATAACAACCGAAGTTGGACTTGCCTCATCGTTCTCCCCAACAACAAGCCGCCGCACAAAACGAACCCAAGCAATAGAACAGCCGAGCGTTCGACTCTCGCGGGGCTGACGACAAAAGTGGGCAAAAGTCGCGAAGCGACAGCGCTTTTTCACATTCCACAGGAAGATCGTCTGCTCCAAGTGAGCGAGGATCTTGTATTCCCCTACGGCATACGCGACAGAGACACCAAGTCAAAAAAAAAAACTTTATTACCTCGTTCTTTCCCCCCCACCGCGTACGTCCCTGCACTGGCAAGCTACATGTAACGTAAAAGCCTGGACGCCTGTACCCGGATACAAGACAGAAACTACAACACCTGACCCAACCCATCTCCCGAAACATTCCAAACGCGACCGACCAACTGGCTCTAAAGATGCCGAAACAAGCCCGATGAAAAGAAGAATGTTCCTTTCCCTCTCTCGCTCTCACTTCACCGCCGCTTGCGCTTCAGTTGCGACGACGACGACATGCCGTCACTGTCCTCCCACTCCTCCATGCCGTCGCTGACACCCCCACCCCCAACGGCGGCCCCACCGCTGCCGCTCCGAGGGCTGGCCCGCCTTCCACGGCGGGTGCCCTCCTCCTCCTCCTCCTCCTCGGCGTCGTAATAGTCGCTGTCCTCGTCCTCATCACGAGCCGCCGCCGCCGCAGCCGCCGCCGCAGCCGCCTGACGACCTATCCCCCGCTTCACGGACGCAGGAACCTCGAAGTCTTCGTCACTGCCATCATCTTCCTCCACGGGCGAATCCTCCTCCTCTTCCTCCTCGTCGCCGTAGTCATCTCCGTCCATCTCAGAACCATCGTCTCGGGATTCCGCTCCGGCCCCACCGCCACCACCTCGCTTTCCTCCGCCGCCGGCGTGGGATTTTGCGGTCTGGGCGGTCCCGTTGTTGGAGGGATGTTGGGCCGCCTCCGTAAGAGCCCTCCCGAGTCTGTCCGCCATTGAGTCCAGCCCCTTCTGCGCCACGATGAAGCAGTCCGACTCGTCCTAAGAAAAAAACAGGAACGGCACCGGGGTAAATTTAGTGGTGTACTGTAAGTCAATGGCGAGATTTGAAAGGGGCCGCACTTGACAAGAGCAAAGGTGCCAGCAGAGAGCTTCTGGTTCTTCTCTCTGTTCTTAAACGGCGACACTAACATGGATCTATCGGAGCAGACCGGGGGAGTCCCACAAATTCCATGGTGCTATGCTACATGAAACGCCTCCCCTCCCCCGAAACAACGCCTCGCCACGGGGACGGGCTACCCCAGGCCGTGAGCGGGACTGAATACCGTCAAGAGGCCAAACGAGGTCTACTACTACAATAGAGAAAACACCATGCATAGGGGGGGGGGGGTGTACTCATAGTCGTGCATGCCGTATTCGTTAGACCATTGACCTCGCATCCCTACAAAGCCGGGACGGAGCACGCCGGGTTCTCACCGGACCAGGCTCTCACATCACCAAGCGCGAAGCGCCGTGCATAGGGGAGGGGGGGGGGGGGGGGGGGGGGGCGCCCCAAAAC